AAGACAACATCACGTCGAGTTTGATTAGTTCATAGTGTCTTCCTAAGATATCTTCCACAAACGAAGCATTAGTTATTTTGGAAGGTTAGGGATCAAGAGAACTTCTTTGCATCTTTCTTGTAGACATTACTTTCATAACTTTCATATAATCGTCCTAAGATATCTTCCACAATATATCTTCCTAAGGGATCAAACGAAGCATTAGTTCACAGTGTCTTCCTAAGATATCTTCCACAATATACATATTCTAATGGCAATTATAGTTATTCTTCGAGGGAACATGAAAACTATATGTTTCTTTTACTATAAGGGACTGAGACACGGATTTGGTATTATTGGTACTGAATTTGGGGGATAATCTGTAATGATTTTAAAGACTTGTTATCATAAATTATGTTTTCTCTAACTATCTTCTAAAAATTTGAAATGATGAAGAAAAATATATAGTCTATTTTACTATACATTATAATGATAACAGACCATTATGTATATAACAAGTGTGCCTTCCAAAGATACCTTAACAAATGAAGCACTAGTAACCTTGGAATGTTGGGGATTAAGAGAGCCTGTTTGCATCTTCCTCGTAGACACTACTTCATATTGTCGCATGTGCAATTACATAATAATTAGTGTCAATATATAGTTCCTGGTAGCAATTAAAGTTATTCTTAGAGGGAATACGAAGACTACCTCCTTTTACTAATAGGGACTGGGGCACTTATAGGATCTAGTGTTGTTGGTACTGGGTCTAGGAGATAATCTGTAATAGTTTTGAGAACTTATTATTATAAACTATATTTTCTCTAACTATCTTTTGAAAATTTGAAATGATGAAGAAAAATGTATAGTCTATTTTATTATGTATTATAATGTTATCATAATAGATATTTACATGTATAATAAGTGTGTCTTCGTAAGATACCTCCAAGTGAAATACTAGTAATCTTAGAATGTTGGGGATCAAGAGAGCCTCTTTGCATCTTCCTCATAGACATTACTTCATATTGTCGCCTATACAATTACATAATAATTAGTGTCAATATATAGTTTCTGATAGCAATTAAAGTTGTTCTTAGAGGGAATACGAAGACTACCTCCTTTTACCAATAGGGACTGGGGCACTTATAGGATCTAGTGTTGCTGGTATTGGATCTAGGAGATAATCTGTAATAGTTTTGAGGACTTATTATTACAAACTATATTTTCTCTAACTATCTTCTGAAATTTTGAAATGATGAAGAAAAATGCATAGTCTATTTTATTATGCATTATAATGTTATCATAATAGATATTTACATGTATAATAAGTGTATCTTCGTAAGATACCTCCAAGTGAAATACCAGTAATCTTGGAATGTTGGGGATCAAGACAGCCTCTTTGCATCTTCCTCGTAGATATTACTTCATATTGTTGCCTATGCAGATGCATGTTAATTAGTATCGATATACAAATCTTGATAATAATTAAAATTATTCTTAGAGGGAATATGAATACTACCTGCTTCTTTTACCATGAGGGATTGGGGCACTCACAAGATTTGGTGTTGCTAATACTGTGTTTTTGGAGGATAATCTGTAATGGTTTTGATGACTTGTTATCATAAACTATATTTCTTCTAACTATCTTCTAAAAATTTAAAATGATGAAAAAACTGTATAGTCTATTTTACTATGTATTATAATGTTAACAAACATTTATGTATATAACAAGTGTGTCTTCAAAAAATACCTTTGACAAATGAAGCATTAGTAACCTTGGAATGTTGGAGATCAAGGGAGTCTCTTTGTGTCTTCCTCGTAGACATTACTTCATATTATCATCTATCAAATTGCATATTAATTAGTGCCAATGTATATATCCTGAAAATAATTAA